GAAGGAGTCTTTTTTTTTCATTCTAGTTTAGCACACTTTCCTTTTAGTGATTGGTCTTAGTGCCTCTCATTTTCAGAGCCTTTATTATATTAATTATCTATTGAAGTGCAACAAATTAGCTTGAAACTTAGCAATTTAAAACAATTAATATTACCTCACAATTTCTGAGGATCAGGAATCCAGTCATGGATTCTTGTGGTTCTGGCTCCAGGTCTGTCATGGCTACTGTCCTCTAAAGATGTGAGTGGGGCTAGAGTAAGTTCTTCTAAGACCATTCACGGGCTTCTTGGTAGGGGCCACCGTCAGTTCTTTACTGTTGGACAGAGACCTCATTGACTTGCCTTAATTCTTCACATGGCTGCTTACAACAAGGCTTCCCACAGAGCAAATAAATCAAGAGAAAGCAAGACGACAGCCACAGGACTTTTTGTAATGTAATCTTGGAAGTCAAATGCCATCACCTTTGTCATATTCTGTTGGTCATGCAGACCAACAAGGTACAGTGTGGGAGGAGACTATATAAGACTGAATACCAGGAGGGTGGGCATTGTTGGGGGCCATCTTGTAGACTGGCTACAATAATTGTGGCGTTCCACATGATTTGCCTACAATGGACACTTGAGAGAGTTGTATACACGTCACATAATTTACAAGGAAATATTTGGAGGGGGTGTGTGGAATAGAATGCCACCACGAGACAATACTTTAGGTTTTAACATTACACATGTCACATTATTAATTATCTTTCTATTGCCAGAGTTTGGTAAACCTTTCATAATTTGCACAGTATCTGAAGGACCATTTAAGTCATGACAGTGCACTCACCAGTGCCTCTGGGGGCTCCCTGAGCACTAACGATTGGCAGCACACTGCGGGGAAGAGTTGATTTAAGAAGACCAGGATTGCTTTTGTTTCCGCGTGACAGCCACAGCAACAAAGTGAAAATGAGCGATCGGTTTCCTTTAGTCGTTGTCACTTCTTAGACCCTTGGGGGTCTGTTATAGACATCTTGAGTGTTGCGTTTAGGGTTTACTTACATTGAAAGTCAAGTGGAGACAGAGGTAGAAGAAAAAGCTCTCTAGAGCAATCCTGCCAAAATATGCCTAGGAACGATTACATAAGGTGACTCGCATTTCGTGTTGCTACACATCAGACTGTTCCAGTTCCTGGGCGTTCGTTGGGTAGAGTCACGTGTTGGTAATGCCCTCTCTTCAGAGCGTGCCACGAGCAATCTGTTCCAGTTAGTTCCTAACAAGGTGCCAACCATTCACTCATCACAGGTTGGTGTGTCCTCTACACGTGTAGAAACACAACATTTTAGATCTGGAAAGATCCTTGGAATTTGTTTTTCTTTGTAATGTTAAGGTGATCCTCAACTCATGGAGGGTTGGAAGCTTACAGTGGCTCTTTATTTCTTCCCCCTGGTCTCTGTTTTGCTTCTAAAGATGTAATTAAAATATAGATGTTAGTAAGACCACAGAACAATTTTGAATTACTGGTAAGGCTTCACTGAATAGAGCCTCCCGAAAAAGCCAATAGCAGTTGATAGCACAAGCATTACAAAAAGGAAGGCTAGAAATCAAAGAGAGACATTGGTCCCACTGTGCTCTTCTGAGATCCTCCCACGCACGTACCCATGCCGTAATCAGTTAGCAGTGCTTCTATTGGGGTATTTAATATCTTCTTCAAAATAACACTGAGGTCTTAAAAAGAGAAGAGTCAAGGTCAATAGGAGGCATCACTGCAAATCCATCACACACCCAGAGGCACCCTCACTCCCCTGCTTCTGTTTGGGATACTCGGTCACACGTTAAAAGTCGAGCTGGGCCTAGAGTTCGGATTGTATTCACAGAATTTAATTCTGAATCATTCTAGCTGTCTTCATCCGAGTCGTGCCATGAGAACACACTGAGGAGCTAGTCTTAGTCAAGGACGACTCCGAGCATAAAGCTAGTCGCCTTCTCTGATGTTCGTCCCCATAATTCACACAAGAATCCCTGGACGTTAGGCAAGATGATTGAGCTAACTTTTATTTCCTAAGCTTGATTTGCAGGAATTTCCAAGTAGATTATGCAGATTTAGGATGGGATAAAGTCCTCCTAAAATCTAATCGCTTATGACTCAGTACTTTTTTGATCTTCTTAATGTGTTAAGCGAATATTGTGGTTCTCACGTGTTGTCATTGAATTTCTTCATTCTTCGGGTCTTCTTTCAGACCCTATCCTATTTTCTTTTTGGTCTTTACTAAATTTTTTATCGTTTTCTCCAATTCTGTATTGTGTCCTTACAGAAAATTTTTTAATCAATCCACTCAGACACAGTTTTCTTACTGTGTGATTATGTGAATGTTTGCTTCTTCTGTCTTATTTTAAGTATTTTTCCCATGTTTTCCTGTATAATCACTGCTATATGTACTTTAGTATAGCCTATATCAACCTCCAAAACAGTTCGTTCAGGATATTTTTTTAAATCTTGCTTCTATATCTAACAAAGGCATAGTGTCCATTATCTGTTGTTATATAACAAACTGTCCTAAAATCTACTGGTGTGAAATTTGTTTTTACAATTCTGGGGTGGACGAGGCTGCTGCAGAATGGTTCCTCTGTTGCTCTTACTCAGAGTCTCTCGTAAAGCTGCAGTCAGCGGCATAGGAGCTGGAATGTCCGCAATGACTTCATGCTGTCCCTCAGTTGGAAGGCTGAGCCCAACCCAGACACTGGGCCAGCTGAGTCTCTCCTCCACACAGTCTGATTCACATTGCCTTTCAGGCAAAATAGCTTCTTACATGCAGCTCTGGATTTCCAAAAGTGGAAGTTACCAGTGCTTTTTAAGGCTAAGTCCCAGGATGAAGTGGACCATAGATAATATACAAGGTGTGAACCCCAGGAAGGCTTGATTCATTGGGATCTACTGCTGGAGACTAGCTACCACAGGGATAATAGTTTCCTTTACCTCCACTAATGTCACATGCTCTCTGCTCCTTTTTCAGTTACCTGTGTCTCTGGCAGTTTACCTAAACCGACAAATATCACCTTCTCGTCCATAAACATGAAGAACGTCCTACATTGGGATCCACCAGAAGGCCTAACAGGAGTTGAAGTTCTTTACACTGTGCAGTACTTCATGTAAGTTGCTTCTTTTCCTGTTGTCCATTTGATAAACAGAAGACTCTCACATCTACTATTGACACAAAAATAGACCATCCATGGGATCAAATCAGTGTTTGATGTTTTTTAAAGGAAAGTTTTAAATTTTGGGCTAAATTAGGAAATGTATTTCTTTGTGGAGAAAGAAGCCCTGGGCTCTCAGGCAAGGAGAACTTACTTAACAGGCAGAAAGCCCTGGATCCAAACACTGTGGTGCAGAATCCTAAGCAGCTAGATGCTCCTTTTAAAAACAGCAGAGAATGGGCGTTTCTACTTTTCACCTTCTTCTCAAAACTCATTGCAAGCAAAAAAGGATGCAAAGCATCTAGACAATGTCCATCTTCAAAGATGCAAAGGAAGTGGCCACAACCTTCGACCCCAAACTGTGAAGCGTGCCTGACAAATGGTCTTAAGGAAAATAACCACAGGAATAACACAAATAGATACCTGCTCGAACTTCGCCAGTAGCAATGCGACAACAGTGAGAATAGGGAACCTGGAGAAGAATTGACGCCTTTGGATTGTGATGCTGGACAAGGACAGGGAAAGTGCCGTGGAGCATCAGAATGCTAAACAGATCTGCTCTGAAGGAAGTACAGCCACAATGCTCTTTACAAGGGAGCATGGCGAGACTTCATTCCACCTACTGGGGACAGGTTGTCGAGAGAGACCAGCTCCTGGAGGAGGACATCAGGTAAAGCAGAGGGTCGACGGGAAAGAGGAAGGCTCTGGAAGAGAGGAAGGCTCTGGAAGAGATGGCTTGAACAGTGGCTGCAACCATGGACCCCAACATAGCAACTCCTGGGACGATGACGCAGGGCTGGGCGCTGCTTCCGCCTCTTGTCCGCAGGGCTCCTGTCAGTCAGGCGGTTCAACAGCCCCTCACGAGAACAGGAGCAAGGACACATTTCACAAACCAGGGAAGATGCACCCAGTAATCTGAGGATCTGGAAAGGTGAGATTATCTGCCACGAGGAGTTGAAGGACTCCTCCCCTGGAGCACCACAGTGTCAAACAAGGAGGAGCTGAAAGAAAAGTCAGGATGAAGCGACGAGTTGATTGTAGACGCAAATCACAACTCAGAGAGGAGCCCAGCGTGAGGGAAAAAGGGGGAAAGGAAGTAGCCTTGGCTAGACAGCTCCTGGGTGCCTGGTGGATGTGTTATGAGCCATACCAGCCTCCTGCACTCCAAGGAAACCCCAAAGGCAGGCAAGCTTCCGGGCAAAGTGAATGAAACTTTTGGTAGGAGGGTATTTACAAAAGCACAAATAATAACAGAAGAGAGCAAAAGCTCATTACCTGATTCCCTACCCTATAGCCTTTCCCGGGGTAGTATATAGACAAGAAGCAATGGTACCAAAGGAACAAGTTCAAGCTGCGCTGAAAACATCAGCCAGAAACAAGGCTCCAGGGATTGACAGAACATCAATGGAATATTTCTCCGGCCAAGGGAGTACAGGAAACCCTCACTCACCTCTGTCAGGAAACTTGTTAGACAGCTACTTGGAAACTGATGGGAAGAGGTTCACATTGGTACTCATTCCAAAGACAGTGAGTCAACAGAATGCTCAATCATAAAACATCACTGATATCATATGCAAGTAACATTTTGCTAAAGATCTTCCAACAATCATTGCAGCAGTACATTGAGAAGGAGCTGCCAGAGATTCAGGCCAGATTCAGAAGAGGACGTGGAACAAGGCATATCATTGCTGATGTCAGATGGATCTTGACTGAAAACAGAGAATACGAGAAAAATGTTTACTTGTGCTGTATTGACTATGTGGCATTCAACTGTGTGGATCATAATAAACCATAGGCAGCCTTGGGAAGTATGAGAATCCTGGAACATTGCATTGTGTTCATTTGGAACTCGTACATGGATCACGAGGCAGTTTTGTGAACAGAACAAGGGCATACTGCACGGTTTAGGGTGATATCCTCTCACCATACTTAGTCAGTCTTTATGCTGAGCAAACCATCAGAGAAGCTTGATTCTATGAAGAAAAATGTAGGATTTGATTGGAGAAAGGTTTATTAACAGCCTGTGACATGCAGACAACAGCCTTGCTTGCTGAGCGTGAGGAGGACATGAAGCCCTTGTGGAGGAGTTCAGCCTTCAATGAGGATTGCAGTCAATGTAGAAATAATAATAATCCTCACAAGTGGGACCAGTAGGTAACATCATGATAAATGGAGAAAGGAGAGACGTGGTGAAGGAGTTTGGTTTTCTGGGATCCACATCGATGTTCATGAAAGCAGTAGTCGAGATCAAAGGATGTATTGATTGCGTAGAGTAAATCTGCCACACAAGGTCTCTTTAAAGGAAAGGTGGGGGAGAAAGGGGGAACCAGTTA